CAGTAAATGGTCCACTAAGAGGAATGTGGTCAATGGCAGTGGAAGGGAGGCTTCACAGAAGAGTTGATACTCAAGAGAGTCTTTAAAAGACAAGTGGTTGTCGTGCAAAGGAAGTGGGTGTGAGATACTGACTTAGCAGCTGCTGATATATCCTGAGCATATAATGACACTCAGAGGACCTCAGGCCATGGAAGAGCTCTCATACCAAGCCAGGCAGTGGTAGCACACGCCTCTAATCCCAGCACTTGGAAGGCAGAAACAGATGGATCTCTCGAGGACAGCCTGTTCTAAAGAGAGAGTTCCAGGACAGCCAGGACTACACAGAGAAACCCTGTCTCCAAAAAACAAAAACAAACAAACAAAAGAGTTTGGACTTATTTATTCCGTAGGTCAAAACGATCTGATTTGGGATTTCTAACCTGTTTCCAACTGTTTAAATAACCAAACATGGTGGCTCACACCTTTAATCCTATCACTGTGGAGTCAGAAGTAGGCAGATCAAGGCCCTGGTCTACAGTGGGTCCCAGGGCAGCCAGGACTACAAGAAAGGGAAATCCTAAGGTACCAAGAAGAGACAGGAAATTGAAACCTGGACCTTAAAAGAAGATGAAGCTGAATTTTGGGGGGTATTGAAAGCAGCTGTAATGCTTAGAAGGTAGACCTCAAGGTCTACTGAGCCTCATATGTTGGAAGCTGGAGCTGGCACCTATTGCCCCCAGTGGAATTTGTAACTAAAATAGGTCTACCATGTTTGTGAAAAGTGAGAGAAAAATTCCACCTACCAGTTGAAGAAGACAGTGTAAACAGTGCCGTATTCTTGGGGTCTTAGACAAGAAAAAGAGTCCACTATAATACATTAGAACCACATGCCTGTTACTATGCATTAAAAACTGAAAAGTTAAGCCGGGCGTTGGTGGCGCACGCCTTTAATCCCAGCACTCGGGAGGCAGAGGCAGGCGGATCTCTGTGAGTTCGAGACCAGCCTGGACTACCAAGCGAGTTCCAGGACAGCCTCCAAAGCCACACAGAAACCCTGTCTCAAAAAAAACCAAAAAAAAAAAAAAAAAAAAAAAAAAACTGAAAAGTTAGCATGAAGTCTAGTGTAAAACCAGGAAACTCCAAAACCTTGCAGAGGTGAATGTAGTTTACTGTTGAAACCTTTCACTCCTAGAACACACAAGACTGAAGGAAAGCAATCCTCCTTAAAGAAGAGTTCACAGTCAAACCCCATGAGATAGTAAACCACGAGGAAAGCAAATAACAAATTCTCTGTCCCAAGAAATGGGGACAAGAGAATAATCTGAAATCTTAAATATGTTTCCAATGTTCACAAAGATTTTAAAAAGGAAAGGAATAGAAATAAGAATAAAAAAGAAACAACTTATCCAATGAAAAGTACATGTTTGTTGAGCAGAAACAATACTGAACAAGTTAAAAGTAGACGAGATGTAGCTAAAAAGAAAAATGGTGAATTGGAAACTTGATAATGAAGAAATCATTTAGAATACATTAAACAGAAATAAAAGAACATGAAAAAACAGGAGTTTTTAAAGAAACTTGTAAGAAAATTGGCACAAATATTTCTTTGAATGTGTGTCCTAAAAATGGTAGTATTTAAATGACAGAAACACAATTCTTTTGTTTTGTTTTTGTTTTTCAAGATAGGGTTTCTTTGTAGTTTTGGAGTCTGTCCTGAAATTCACTCTATAGACCAGGCTGGCCTTGAACTCACAGAGATCCACCTGCCTCGTGAGTGCTGGGATTAAAGACAAGAAATACAATCATTCTTAAGCTATGAATAAAAACAAGGTTAAAGAAAACTCAGAGTCAAGGGTGATGGTGCATACCAATAGTTCCAACATTCCAAAAGTTAAGAAGATGGGAGAACTTGAGGCCAGCCTAGGATATGCACAACCTGTCTCAAAACAAAACAAATTTGGTCTGTTTAACAGATGATAAGAAAGGAGACAAGGGCTGGAGAGAAGGCTCAGAGGTTGAGAGCACTGGCTGCTCTTCCAGAGGTTCTGAGTTCAATTCCCAGCAACCACACGGTAGTTCACAACCATCTGTAAGGAGATCTGGTGCTCTCTTCTGGCCTGCAGGCATACATGCAGGCAGAACACTTTACTTAATAAATTTTTTTTTAAAAAGAAAAGAAAGGAGACAAAAAGTAAAGGGACAATATTTCTAGTAAGTAACAAAGGCAGATGAACTAAATAGGGTATTGGAAAAGAAGATCTTTACATTACACTGGGCAGCGGGGTGGGAGAGCAAAACAGCAGCACCCACTGCGCATGAAGATCTAGAATTGATAGTGAACAGGTAGGAGATGGTAGGCAAAAAAGCCAGGAGTGCGCTGGAGCAGTATTTACAATGGAAATATGTGGGGAGGAAGCTCCCTCTAAGATGTGTGTAGAATAATATGATTGCTATTCAGTACTGCTAGCATGGGCCAGCTCTGACTGTATTAACATGAATACCCCAAGAAAACACCCTGGGCAAGAAAAGCTTGATATTTATACCTTTCGATAGAAAACTGCTCCTATGTGGCTCAGGGTCTGTTGTTTTGGTTTTTTTTTTAACCGTTTAGCGCTAACTAGTTTATACTGCAACAGCACATAGGAAAAGCTTTTTCTCTCAGTTTTGATTGAGTCTCCTAAGCACTGGGAACAAGGGGTAGATATAAAATGATATTCTCAAATGAGGATCTAGTGCATCTCTCTGGAACTTATGCAGGAAATACATGAAGAAACCCATCATCTTCCATAGGTCCAGGTTAGAGGGAGAGGGGGAATGTGTTCCTCAGTGGAGAGGGAGAGCTCCACTGTGACAATTTCCATTGGAGAACTGAACTCCGTTCCTGGAGTTGGTCAACACCCAGACCAGACCTGAGCTTGGGAAGTCCAAAGACAGTTGCTGGCTGATGGCAGAGGGAGAAGCAGATACCTTGCCAGGCTGTTATCTTTGGGAGTCTTTTTTTGTTTGTTTGTTTTTGTTTTTCGAGACCGGGTTTCTCTGTATTGTTTTGGAGGCTGTCCTGGAACTTGCTCTGTAGACCAGGCTGACCTCGAACTCACAGAGATCCGCCTGCCTCTGCCTCCTGAGTGCTGGGATTAAAGGCGTGCGCCACCAATGCCAGCTATCTTTGGGATCTTTTAGGGCAAAGATGGGAGCAGTCATAGGAGCGGGTGCTGCATGGCTTGGGTTCAAATAGAGTGGCTGGGTCCCCAAGCTCCTTAGAAGGACTGTGGGGCACCTACAGAGAAAGTCTGCATTCAAGAAGCGTACAAAGCACTGGGTTTCATTATGGCATTCTTCATTTTTACATTTATTTATTGTGGGTGTGTGGCGATCAGAGGACAACTTACAATTCTACTATGTGGGTTCTGGTGAATTAAACTCAGGTCTTCAGGTTTGACAATGCCATCTTACCAGCTCTTATTATGGCATTTTCATACATGTTTCATTTTATGTTCTTAATTCCCACCGCCTTTCCCCATTAACTGGCCCTCTTCTCCCTAACAGTCCCCCTCCTGCTTTCATGTCACAAACATTCCATCACTCACTCTTGTTCCCCTCCCTTTAGAGGTTCTCTCTGTACTTCTCTGTCTGTCTGTCACTCTCTCTCTCTTTCTCTCTGTCTCTCTCTCTCTCTCTGTGTGAAAGACAGACAGAGAGAGACTGAAAGACAGAGAGAGAGAGAGAGAGAGAGAGAGAGAGAGAGAGAGAGAGAGAGAGAGAGAGAGAGAGAGCTGTAAGAATCATTACCAGTATAGTAGGTGCTTCAGGTGAGTTCTCAGCAGGGAAGTCTCCAAGGAACTGCAGAAGGCATCCTGTTGGGGAGGGTGACCTTTAAGACCTTTAAATGCCTGCCAGTTCAGAGAACACCAAAACCACCTGATCAGGGTCAAATCCCTTCCTTGCTCTCTTGGCTTTGAACCTAGAAGGCAAAACCAAAGCAAGCAGGCAGGGAGCTGGGAAATAGAGAAACTGATGGACCCTTCCTTCACCCTTGGCTTCTAGGCTGGAAGCAGACCACATGTTCTCCCTCTAAGGGAAGGAATATATCCCAGTATCTCATGGCTGTATTGAAACTTCATGTAGGAAAGTGCACACGTGCTAAGTATCTGATGTGAACACATGAAGATAAACATTACCAGGACCCCAAAGCCTCCTAAGGCCCTTCTTTGCCCCTAACTGCCCACCTGCCCACCTGCCCGGGGTAATAGTGATCCAAGATGAGATATATACTTTTTCAATTATGAAAGCTACTTCTTGTCTGCCATTTTTAGTTTACTAAACATTTCTTAGCTTAAATGATTTCAAAACTACAGAAAAAAAATGCATGACAGTACAAAAGCTTTCCTATCTCCTTCCCCGAATTCCTAATTTCTAGTGTTTTATACTTAACGGAAGCATGAGAGTCAGCCATAAGGTGTTAGCTTCTTCTGGAAAGGAAGATGGGAAATGAGTTTGGTGAGGGGAGGGAGGAAAGGACTTAAATTTTATAATAACAACCTTTTTAAGTGATGGGTTGCTCCTTGAACCTTTCAGTGTGTTTGAAGTTAAAAAAAATTCTTTCAAAAAGAAAATTTGGGTTTTCTCCTCTGGGAAGTGGTGAACTGTTTGTGTGATTTTTATTGTTGAAGTAAACATGGTTTTATGACTGTTCCGTGAATACAAAGTAAGACACTTAAACGGACTATGAGGTTGATTCACCTAGGCATCATTTCCCTAACTGCTAAGTGCCCAGTGGTGTCTGGCATGGTGAGATTAAAAGTTGCACTTTTCCTAATAGATGGAACTCTCCTCCTGATTTGCAGTAAGCAGGACCTGCTTTTAAGCAATTACCCATCGTTGGGGGCCATCAGACACACTGTGCTTTGGTTCAGGTCATAATCAATAATTCATATGTCAATAGGAGAGCCATTAGCTCAGGTGAAGCAGATGTCTTTCTAATGAAAATGTTCCATTTTCCAAATGACTTTTATTTTTCACAGAGAGTTGTGGTTGTAGAAGACATAAAAAGATGGAAAACTATGTTGGAGCTTCCTGATCAAACCAAAGACAACCTAGTTGCAGCCTTACAAGAATTAAAGAAGAAAATACCCTCCAAGGAGGTGTTGCAATCGACAAGGATAGGTAGGCTCCTGCACTCTGTGAATAATACTTCTACGGTATCTCCCTTCTTCCTGTACATCACAACTCATTTGACCCATCCGAGCTTTTCACACTGTCCCTGGATGGGACCTTTGTTTAGAACATTTTACTAGCCTCAGGCTAATAATTTTATAATATATAGTAAAATTTCAAGAAAAAAATGAAGTGAAAACACACAAAACACAGTCCTCGATCTTTTAAATTTTTGTTTTCATTTTATTATGTGTTGGGAAGGGGGGTCCGGTGTGTGTTTACCACAGTGTACGTATGGAGGTCAGGGGACAACTTAGTGGACATTGGTTTGCTCCCTCCAAGGAGTGGCAAGGTTTGGTGGCAAGCACCCTTACCCACTGAGCCATCTTGTCACACCTCCCCCCAATTTTTGATTAAAGTGAACAGAATTCCTCTGCTCAGTTATTATATAAGGTTTTAAAAGCCTGTGTTCAATTTCTGTACTTATCGTATATATAGTACTGGTGACAGTGACATATAGGTAACATTTTGTGTGTGCCCGACGCTGACTGTGCAAAAATGATCGAGACTTGATTGTGACCTGGAGGAGCTGAGGGTTTGGTAGAGAGGCGATGGTGTAGACAAACGGGAACAGTGCCACACGACACTGTCCACTGTTCTGATCCAGAGTCTGTACGTGGTCAGCAAGGATAGAGCTACAATTTCAGTACTTCAGAAAGATTTCACAGAGGAGGTGGCATTTAAGCTAAATCTTGAAAGAAACTCAGCCTAATCTGTCATCGGTGGCAATAACTGGCAAAGCCTGGTTTGTAAAACAAAATGAAAGCAACATTTGCCGCTGTGTCATTTATTGTAGCTTTGGAAATGTTTCAGAGGTAAGTGAGGACCACGTTGAATTGCCGTTTTAGTAATATGCAAGGGAGGAACAACATGTGTTCCTCAAGCTGCTCTCTGCTCCCCGGAGAGCCCAGGGTAGTCTTTCACAGCTGCTGCTTCTGCCCTCCGCAGAGCAGCCATCGCCTCCTCTGCCTCCCCTTGACCTCTTGTTCCTGAGAAGCAGGAGAGAGCAGCGTCATACTGTCACTAACAGCTGGGAAGAGCTGTGCAGAGTCCCCGGGGAGCTCCCAAGAGGCCTAGAGTTGCACCCCTGTAATATAAACCAGCATCTGAGGAAATTAGATGCTTAAAGAACATAAAACCCTATCATTATAGCCAAGAAGATGCGCCCATCTGTGGCAGGATTTGCTGTCTTTATAGGTTGTGGTCGCTAGAGGGCGATAAGACCATTCACATGAGCCTGTAAGGCCTTTCCACCAGTAGAGGGTACTAGTGTTTAATATTTTATGACCTGTTTATTTATGCACATATATATGTATATATATGATCCTGTTTAGACACATACCACAGATACCATACATAATCAGATCTTAAATCTCGACATAATAAGCTAGGATTATCCTAAAAGGCAGGACAGGTGATCATTTTCAAAACCCTTTCTGTTGACCTTTGAGTATAGTTGTGAGTGCTTTCCAGAATGGGTGTGTCGGATGTTCAGACATTACAGCTCAAGGTCCATAATAGAACTACCATGAGATTTGGCTTAGCAGGAACTGGAATCCATCCAACCCTTGAATCTTGACCTTATTCAGCCTTCCCTAAACTTGAAATTGTATGGAATGAAGGGGTGGGAGGGTTGATTCCTTTACAGTTACATCAGGTGAAGATCTTACTCGGATCATTTCCTGAGAATGTTTATGCTTCAACTTTTAGCCTTCCTGCCTGGCTCTACCTTGTTGGGTGTAAGCAACAAATATCTACAGAGTGTGCTGGGCACTGTGGGTATAAAGGAGGCAGGAACTGCTCCCTTCTTGGAGTTTGAATCTGGTGGAAAGATGGGCAGTGTAGTAAGACTTTTGTATGTCGTGTAGTACGGTGCTCTGGCGACGGGGAGATGTTCGCCAATGTGGAAGTAGGAGAGAGCGCTAAAGAATGCGTCTGGCAGAGGGTGCATCGTGGAAGCTGCAGAGGGGGTGGAGGTGGGAGAGAGAACACGGGCCTGTCCCAGAAGCTCGAGTTGTGAGGTGTGTTTAAAATGTAACATGCCAGAGAGAGCGTGGCAGGAAATGAGGCTGAGAGACAGTCTGGACCAGATGGGGAAGGCTTTTTGTAAGCGATTCAGAACTGTTTGGTTTTGGCAATATATTAGTTATCTGTGACTGCATAAAATTGTCCTAAAATTTAGCTGCTTAAGAAAGTATTATTTCACATAGTTTCTCTGAGATTGGGCAAACCAGGAGCCAGTTTATCTGAATGGTTTTGGCTTGGGGTATGCTTATTTTGGTTTAGTTTGGTGTGGTTTGATTGGGGCTCTTACAACCAGTTTAAACTCCTGATTTTCTTATCTCCATCTCCTAAATAGTGTGATTAGAGGTGTACACCACTCTTCCTGGCTGTTCACTGTCTTTTAAGAGCTTGTCATCAGGCTGTTGGTTAGAGCTGCTGACTTCTGATGGGCTTCCAAGATAGCAGGTGTTAGAGGATTGCCTGAAGAAGGCCCTTACTTAGTTCCTCATCGCATGGGCCTGTCCTCATGGCTGCTCCTCACAGCAACCAACTTCCCCAGAGCCAGTGACCCCAAAAGGACAAGAATTGAAACAACAATCAATAAAGAAGCCACAATTTGCTGTTTGTTTCTTTGGTTGGTTTTTTTGAAACAGCTTCATTGTGTAGCCCAGGTTGGCCTGAAACTCATTGTGTACGCAAGCTAGCCTCAAACTTGTAATTATCTTGTCTCAGCTCTTAAATTATGGGATAACAGGTGTGAGCCACCATGCCTGATTTCCATCATTTCTTTTATAGCTTAACCTTAGAAGTAACACACTATCATTTTCATTGTACTCTGCATATGGCTGCATTTGACCAACCCTGGTATGTTTTGAATTGCACTACACACGGTGTGGTTACCAGGGTATGAGACTCACTAAGGGCTGTCATGTGTGTCGGCTACCACAGCATGTATCCCTTTTTATTTATCTCACATATATTTCCCAGACCTACAAGTGCATGTTTATTTGTTGAAAATTTACAACAATTCTTTCTCCCAATGTGTTTTTCCTTTCTATTCCCTCCTGAGATTCTACAGGTAGAACTATGTTAAACCTGTTCTTCATATTTTTATGTCATATCCTTTATCCCCTTGTCTCGTCTCTCTCAGCAGTCTAGATAACTTCTTCAGATATGTCTTCCAAACTACTAATTCTCTCTTCTGCTGACTCTTAGCTCATTCTTAAGTTCTTCATTTCAAAACTGTTTTCATTTTTTCACATTTCCTATTGTCTCTAGAATAATAGAATATCCCAGAGGAAATGTCTAAGAAGGTATTGGATGCAGTATTTAATTCCAGCAATTAGAAGGCAGAGGCAGAGGCAGGTGAATCTCTGAGTTCAAGGACAGCCAGGCATACACAAGAAACCCTATCTTAAAAAACAAAACCAAATCAAAATAAAAACCACGATGTTGTTGGATGCATAAAGCTGAAAAAGAAAGAAAGATTGTAACCATTTCAGTGGGAATACTTTGTCATCAACATGTAGCAAGGAGTTGAAGAGACAAAACTAGATAAGCTTTGTAGGAAGACTCTAAGGAGGGCAAAGAGCCAAGTCCAAAACCCTGAAGCAGATGAACACTTAAGGGGTGTTTAGGACCACACTGAGAGTGTTGACCAGAGGGACAGAAGAGAATATTGTCACTGGAATGAGAGAGTCAGGGTTTGGAGAAGGCGTAGTCAGCTGTGTATCCATGGTTGTCACAGGACCAAATAAACTTAGTCTAAAAATGGCATTGGTTTATGAAATAAAGTCATTAGTAATTTTAGGACAGTCTCAAAGGCAAGGTTGGGGGCAGGAGCTAGAGGAGCAAAAGGGTTGCGGAAATGACACTGAAAAAAGATGCCTTGAAAGTTTGGTATTAAAGAGAGGTGATGGGATGAGGAAGGGAAGGGAGATAGACTGAATAAGTACAAGGTGTTAAGATAGGAGAGAATCATAACATGTTGAACACTAATGAGAAGGATCCAGTAGAGTGAGAGGAGTTAGCATTGGAAAAGCTTCCAGGGCAAGGTCTCTGTGTTAAAACTAATGAGCAATGTGAAGATCAGCGAGAGCCTTGCATCATTTGATCTGTATTTTAGTTTCAATCTGGAAGAATTCATACACTTGACACATATCAAGGACCTTGATATGCCATGCCTTATGCTGAGTGCCAGAGAATGATGCCTGGTCTGTGTGTGCCTCCTCTTCGTTCTTGCTTAGAAAACAAGCACGTAGGTGTATAATTGTGATTGACTTTTGAAAATACGAGAGTCGGGCATGTACTAGAGTCTGTGAAGGTGCAGTGGCACTCTCCTCCCAATGAATTGGGAAGGGTTTCTGTAGAAATGTGGCTTTTCTAGGTCAGAATGAGCTCCTGTTCATTGCAGGCAGAGGCATGAGGAAGGAAAAGAAGCCTAAAGTCCTGAAATGGCACAATAGAACGTGGGTACCTGGTGAGGGACCCACTTCTACATGGGCCTGCCTGAAAAGAAACTGGGCAGCCAGCCAAGTCCGGGCTTTATCCCCAGCGCCGTGTTTTCTAGTGTATATTTTCTAGAACTCTGGTCCAGTAATGTGTCTCCTGAAGAAAGGGTGCTGGGGTCAGGTAAGCTTTGAAAATGCTGCATCACTGTCTCCTCTTTTGGAGATTTCAGCATAATTTCTCACGTGATAGGCTAAGAGAAATCCAGTAAGAAAGAAAACTGGGCTGGGAATGTATTTGGTGGTAGAGTACCTGTCGAGTTTGCACAAGGCCCTGGATTCAGTCTACTGCACTGTCAAGATGATAGACAGACAATCAAGCCTGTTGGTTTTGTTTTTAACTTGAGGTTACTCGTGAGTGTTTAGTAGAATATCTTATTAGCAGTTTATTAGGTTAAAAAATACACTGTTATCACCATTTGATGCTTCAAGCTATGG